GACATCCTCAACAAAACGTTGCGGTCCGGGCCGTTTCGCATCAGGCATCCTGACAACTCTCGTTTCAGAGTTGGTCAGGATTGGGCGTTTCGCCTGAGACATCCTCGCAATTCTGAGCCCAAAGAGGCCGCACGAGAGGTGGTCCAGCGCGTTTCGCCTGAGACATCCTCGCAGCTCTGGGTTCTCCGATGCCGCGCGAGAGGTGGTCCAGACCGTTCAGCCGGAGAAATCATCGCAATTCGGAGTTCCGAGATGCCGCGCGCGAGGTGGCATGGCCCGCTACGCCCGAAACATCCTCGCAACTCTGGGCTTTGATAAGATGTGCGCAAGGTGGTCGGCGCGTTGCGCCTGAGACATGCTCTCAACTCTGAGCCCCAAGATGCCGAACGAGAGGTGGTCCGGCCCGTTTCGCTTGAGACATCCTCGCATCTCCAGACTCCAAGACGCCGCGCGCGAGGTGGTCCTCGCAACCCTGGGCTTTAAGAAGATGTGCGCGAGGTGGTCTGGTGCATTTCGCCTGAGACATCCTTGCAACTCTGGGCTCCGAGAGGAAGTAGAGAGGAGGAGGAGGAGGAGGAAGAGAAGGAGGAGGAGAGGTCAGACCCATATGAACCAGTGAATTACAATTTGCGTTGTCCAACTGTGTTCTGGGAGGGGTCTGGGGGTCTGGGCGCCGCCTAAGACGTCCTCACATTTCCGAGCTCATGTCGCGCGCGAGGTGGTCTAGCGCGTTTCGCCTGAGACAGATGTCGCGCGCGAGGTGGTCTAGCGCACTTCGCCTGAGACATCCTCGGAACTGTGGGTTTTCGGAAACATGTTCGCGAGGTGGTGCGGCCCGCTTCGCTTTGAGACATCCTCGCAGTCGGGGCTCCGAGGTGCCGCGCGCGAGGTGGTTTGGTCCGTCTTGCCCCAAGCAGTATCGGAGCTCCTGGCTCCGTGAAGAAGGAAAGAGGGGCGAGGACGGGTCAGACCCACACGAACCATTTTGAAGGGGCCCTGGGACACGCAGACAAATAGACACAAACGACAGGATCCCCCATCTTCTCCAATGTTTTTGGGGGTTTGGGTCTTCCCCCCCACTTCCCATATTATCCCATATTTTCTGGGGAGTCGACGATTCGGTGTGTCTGTGTGTGCTTTCCCTCCTGGCATTCGATGACACTCCTGTTGTCGAGGGGGTCCGGGCGCCTCCGGCCCGACGGAGGAGGCGGCCGACTCCGCGGCGCGAGAACGATTCCTTCGCAGGCTGCAGGGGCTTCTCGGGCTGGAGCCATGCGCAAGTCGTGGAGGTGCCTCGAGCGAGAGCGCGGTGAGCAGGGAGGAGGCAGGGGGGGGGAGGAGAAAGGGAGTAGAGAAAATGTAGTGGAGGAGGGGGGCGGGGCCGGGCCAAAACTACCTGTTTCAGGGCATCCCCGGCGAAGATGCCTCTTGGAAGCGGCATCGAGAGTGCGAAGGCATCCCTGGCATGGCGGAGACATCGGAGAACAGGAGGGAAGAGGAGGAGGAGGAGGAGGAGGAGGAGGAGGAGGACCAGTGTAAGCCCAAGACTCATCAACGACGTTGGAATATACCTTCCCTCCAAATTCCCTCTTCCCAGGCCCCTACAAAGATTCATTTCCACTGAAGGAAGTGCCCCGTTGGTTGACAACCGCTTGAAGATCCTGACGCGTACCAAAACACCACTCTCATGACTTCGACACCACGAGTCCAACCTGGCTGTCGCGTCTTGACGATCTTGAACCGTGCCAAGATACCATTCCTGGGAATTGACCTTTCGGACCAACGTAAATGTTGCGCCCTGACAGTCCTGAACCATTCCAAAACACCACTTCTGGTACGTTAACCATGAGAACACATGAAACTCTTAAAACTGCTGTGAAAGAATATGCGCGGCGCCAAAAGGAGACCCACATGTTGAAAAAGAACGGCCACCAATCCGTGATTCTCTTGCTGCAAATGTGTAAACGAATGTGAGCGTCGCTAAGGCGAGAGCCACGTTTAGCAAACGAACTGCCCTCAATCCATGAACCTCTTGAAACTGCTTACGTAATAAGAATGTGCGCGGAGCTAAGACGAGAGTCACATTTGGAAAACGCCATGTCCTCAACCCGTGCAACTCTTGCAAAGCTTGAAAAAGAATGTGCACGGCGCTAAGGCGAGAGCCACATTTTGGAAGCAACACGCCCTCCATCTGTGAAGCTGATACCAGTTTTGAGATTGAGGCTCACAAATGGTATGGAAGTCTCGAGCGAAACTCCCGGCCGGCCCTTCCGACTGGCCTTGGGGTGCGACAAAGTGGAGCCATTCCGAAGAATCTGAATGGAGGAGGAGGACGAGGAGGAGGAGGAACACGAGGAGGAGGAGAAGAAGAAGAAACGCTGCGAAGCGGAGGACGAGGAGCACAAGGAGGAGTACGAGGAATTCAAGGAGGAGCAGGAGGAGGAGCAGGAGGAGGAGCAGGAGGAGGAGCAGGAGGAGGAAAAAAACACAAGGCGAAAAGCGATGAGGAGGTAGAGGATGAACAGGAGGAGGAGGAGGAAAACAACGATGAGGAATAGCATCAAGAGGATGAGGAGGATTCTTGTGAGGAGGGGGACAAGGAGGAGTGAGATGAGGCACAGGGGGAGGGGGAGGAGGAGGAGGATGAGGAGGAGGAGAAGAGGAGGAAGAGGAGGAGGAGGAGAAGAAGGAGGACCAGGAGGCTGAGGATGAGGAGGATGACGAGGAGGAGGCGCAGGAGGAGCGGGAGGCAGAGATGAGGGGGATGAGGAGGAGGAGGAGGAGGAGGAGGTGTAGTGGAAGGGGGGAGGGCGAGGGCGAGAAGGAGAATGACGTGGATACGGCGGAGGATGACGACGAGGATGACGATAACGAAAAGCTCGACGACGACGCCGAGGACGCAGGCGGATCAGGAACAGGACGACGCGCGAACACTCTTAGGAGCCACCTTGGCTAAAAAAACGCTCTCAGGGGTATTGGACTCTGTCTGTGACCGTGTTTGTTGTTTTTCGGGCCATCCTTCCTTTTGGGCCCGCAACGCCACGTGCACAACAGCGCCTGTGCACAACGCGATGCTTGTGCAATCGCAGCATCCGCGTGCACCACGGAGCTGGGCGCCCGCGACCACCAGCGCCTGCGCACACAAAAAAAGACCTGCGTACACCCCTGGGGCCCTGACGGGGCCCAAGCTTCGGAAAATCGTGGTGGAGCCGACCCCATCAAATCAACACTTCAGTTTTTGATGCTTCGGATGCATCCCAAAATGCCCCTGCAGACGGTGCCGCATTGTGTGCGGCCCTACCACTCCTGAGGATCTGCTGCCCCAGGGTGAAGCCAAAACCGGCAACGGAGGCGGGTTCCAGGGCCGAGGTTGGGGGGGGGATGCACGAACGTGTCGAGACACGAATGCTCTTTTTGGCCGGGGGCATGGCCCCCCTGCATCTTGGGCCGGCAGTGCCAGCGTACACCTCAGCGACTGTGGACGCCACATCTCTTGCGTACAAACAACAACAACAACAACAACAACAACAACAACAACAACAACAACAACAACTACTACTACTACTACTACTACTACTACTACTACTACTGCTACTGCTACTGCTACTGCTACTGCTACTACTACTACTACTACTACTACTACTACTACTACTACTACTACTACTACTACTACTACTACTACTACTACTACAGCAACAGCAACAGCAACAGCAACAGCAACAGCAACAGCAACAGCAACAGCAACAGCAACAGCAACAGCAACAGCAACCGCAACGACAACGACAACAACAACAACAACAACAACAACAACAACAACAACAACAACAACAACAACAACAACAACCACAACCACAACCACAACGCCTGTGCACAACGATGCCTGTATAGACCGCAGCGCTGTCAGCCACGAGCGCCGCGTTACGGGCACAACACGAATGCCTCTGAGCTACAGAATAGCACTTCCCCTCTGAGAGCACCACAACCGCGCGAGCGCCGCATTATCTTGCGAATGCCACAGCATGCCTGCGAACACCACGGCATGTCTGCGACCATAACAATAGCCTGCGAGCCTGCGAGCGCTTCAGGACGCGCGTTGTCGCCATGCGACGATCTGGGGGGGAGGGCTGGGGCCGATCACGCCCGCTATCACCCAAATGGAACAACAAAAAAAAAACAAGCTCCAAGTGCATAACCAGGTGTACCGGCGGGCCCCGTGTGCACATACCCCAGGGGTGCCCCAAGTGTATCCTGGCTTCCCTGTCTCTGGCTCCCCCGAGGCTGTGCAAGGAAGGGGGGAGGGCATCGGACGGAAGCGCCGCCTGTTGGCGTCAGAACAGGCGGGGTCCACAAACCTCCTCGCGCCGTACGGTGCCGGCGGGCTCATATGCCCTGGAAGTGCTCCGGGTGGCGTCTCCTTGCCACCGGATGGCTTCAAGATGGCCCAGCAGGGCCCGAAGACGGCCCACGAAGGCCCCAAGACGGCCCTCGAGGCCCCCAGCACGGCTGCGAGGGCGTGCTAGTGCCTCAATTGCATTCATCAACCGGCTGCTCTTCGTCACAAATACTCGACCTGCTTATGTGTGGGGAGGCACTCAGTGAGGGTGTATGCTGCAGGGCTCTGGCCCCTCCGCCCCCATCCAATGCTAATGGGATCGCCCCCCCCGCTGCATGGGTACGCCCGTGAGCCTCGCGACTGGGATCGCCCCCCCCCGTGGTCCGTGTGGTCGTGGCCCTGTGGGAGTAAAGTGGTGGAGGGTGGACGTCGTCGTCGTCGTCGTCGTCGTCGGCGGCGGCGTCGTCGGCGTCGTCGTCGTCGTCGTCCCATCCAATCTGCGGGGAGGGAACATGTAAAACCATGGGACCCATCCCATCTGGGGTGGGGGAGCCAATGAACCCTCGACCCTAGATCATATATCGCGGCACTCGTCCGATCCACAACCGGACAAAACACCATCTCCAAGGCTCCATGGGGTCAGCGCTGTGACGTAAGCCTTAGGATCTATTACGGCGAAGCCGCAGAGCGTGGAGGCGAACGACAGCACGAGCCACAACGGCACGTTGACACATGCGTCGGCCACAAAGTAGCTCAGCGGTCGGTACAGGCCGTTGGTCACCTCCTTCCTGTAGCACCCGTGCTCCGAGGTGAACTTCGGCACGGCTCCCACGCACAGAAATGCTGGCAGCTGCTGGAGCCATACCAGCGCCCAGACGCGATCCAGAATCTGGGTCTGGGCCCGCTGCCTTGCGCCCGAGTAAGCAAACATGACAAAGGACACTAGAGAACAGGAAAGGGCAACCCGACCCACGAACGCAATGGGGCTCCTCACGTGAGACTTCAGCGCCCTCATGTACAGCAGCTGCACCTGTCGCCAGCACGGAGCCGGACGGTGGTTCGGCTCGGGGGGTCTCCACCGTCTGCCTTCGCGAAGCGTTTGCTCGCTCCACCGCTGGTTTGTCTCCGCTATCTCCCTGCTGGTGTGCGCCTTGTGGTGATCCCAAATGTCGCAAATGCGCTGGACCTGCTGCACCGAACAGAAATCCGTGTTCGTCGCCCGCAGCAGGAATTCGGCGGGATTCACGCCTGCCTTGTGGATGAACCCCATTTGCGTGAAGTGCGCCGCGGCCTCCTGAGCGGCCCCGAAGTAGCACATCCGCCCGCTGGAGAGCACCAGCAGCCTGTCGAAGAGCTGAAAGATGTGAGACGATGGCTGATGGATGGAACACATCACGGCGATCTGCTTCTCCTGCGCGATGCGCCGAAGGATGCAAAAGATTGCCTCCGCGGCCGCGGAGTCCAGGCCAGACGTCGGCTCGTCAAGCACCAGCACCGTCGGCCTCTTCAGCAGCTCCACGGCGACGCTGAGGCGGCGGCGCTGGCCGCCGGAGATGCCAGGGATGAGCGCGCCGTCGCCCACCAGCACGCGCTGGCACGCCGAGAGCCCCGTCTCCTGCAGCAGGCCATCGACGGCCGCCGCGTTTGACCTGCAGGACCTCGTGCCCTGGTACAGCGCAGCCGCGAACTCCAGGGCCTCGCGCACCGTGGCCGTGGCGCAGAGCAGGTCAGCCTGCGCCACGTAGGCGCAGCTCTTGCGGAAGATCCTCCTGCTGAGCTCCCTGCCGTTCAGCTGCACCCTCCCCTGGCGCTCGCATCGCGCCTTGGACTCGTTGGACACGGCATCCAGCAGTGTTGTCTTGCCCGCGCCAGAGCCGCCGATGATGGCCAGCACGTCACCGCTCTGCACCTGCGCGGTCACGTCCTCTAGGATCTGCACCCCCCTGTTAGGATTAGGTCGGGCATGTCCCCCTACAGGCGGATATTGGACAAAAAAATCATCAATAAGTACCCACAAATGATCAAAAATAGTCGAAGAATCGTCCCCTGACGATTTCGTTACTATTTTTGCATACTCCTTCTGTAGAGGGACAGGTCCGACTTAATGTTACGGAGCCGAGCTCTATACACCGACGTTTCTGCGTCCCTGCTTCGAAGCTTGCACAGGAAAGCAGATATTGGTGCACACGGGATCCTAATGTATATACATGCTTCGCTGTTCCCCCGAGAAACCAACGGAAAAAGTAGACACCACACCACCCCGACGTCGCCCCCGACCCTCAAAAGAAGTCCTGGGATTGAAAAACCGCCCGCCACTGGCAATTTTGGCTTACCCAAAAGGGGGTCCAGCTGAAAGGGGGTGGTGCAATAGATGTGGAGCAATTGTATTGCAAGTGTGTTACGACGGAGACTTATATTGCTTTGCATTGCCAGTATCATGTATTGCACCCGGAAATACAGCAATGCACTTGCGCCCCGAGATGTATTGCACGCCCCGAGTGGGTTGCAACCCCACAAACCTATTGCACCAAATCTATTGCACCACCCACTTGTCGCTGGACCCCTTTTGGGTCAACCCGAAGAATGCATATGCTCCACTTTCCGACCTGTCGCGCGTGCCGGGCGTCCGGCGGATGCTGACGCACAGGCCCTCGAGGCTGAGGACGACGTGGGGCAGCAGCACCTCGGTGTCGTCGCTCTCATCGGAGAGCCCGGTCTCCTCGGCCACCTCCGAGCCGCTGCCGAAGCTGTCCTCGGAGCCTTCTGGGCATGCCCCCGCGCTCGCTGGCATGAGCCGCCAGGATCTCGGGGCCAAAATGGCTGCAGAATGTGAAAGACGAGGAGGAGGAGCGAGGAGGGGGAGGGGAAAGGGAGGGAGAAGGGGGGAATATCCCCGCGCCCCGGAAAATCAAGGATCCACTGGTTGAGTTCCGGCTCGATGTCATCCGTCGCGCCCTGATGGGGCAACCACGGGGACTGCGCAAAGGGGTCGGCCCTTTATTACGGGGTCGCCGAAAAGGAGACGGCACCTCACCATCGGGTGGGAGTTGTTTGGAATGCGGTGACAGGTTGGATCCATGGATTCGGCTTCACTTCTGCTGAATTAGTTCGGGCTACCTCTTGCATTTCCGCAGAGTCCCAAGACAGTGCTGGCACCCAGGGAACCTTACCTGGGCTTCTTTCGAGGGTCTGCTGGGTGTGCTGGGGTGTCTCTTGGTGCCCCCAGAGATCCGACGTCGTGATTTTTTCAATACAGGGTCCCCGGAGGTCTCGACCCATTCCCCAGGACCGGTTTTTCATCCTGAGTCGTTTCTTGGCAGTCCCGGGGCCCGGCGAGGGCCCCCTGAGGCCGAAAATTGCGAAAAACCTCCGTCGTGATTTTTTCAACGCGTTGGATCTCTTGGTGCCCGGTCGTGGGCGCCTCGTGCTGGGTGGGAAGGTGCCCGCCCGTGGGGCGCCCCGTGGGGCGCCTCGTGCGCCGGGGGGGGGGCCGAGGCTTCGCCCGCGGCCCGCCCGGGGGCGCCCCGTGGGCGGCCGCATGGATGGCACGGTCGAGGCGGTTGTAAACAGCAGGGCTGCACGCAGCGCGCACCACACAGTCTACAGTCCGGGCGTTGACCTGAGGAACCCTAAATAAGGAACGGGGCCCCCTCCTCCGATAAGTTGAGCTTCGGTTTCCCATGGAAAACCTCCGGAAAACAAAAGGCAAAAAACTGCAGAACAATCAAGGAACACCGAGCCCCTCCCCAACGAAAAGGGTTCCTTCTTCAGGGCCCCGACTGTACACCACATAGCTTACACCCCATGGCTTGCACTTGTGCACTTTCCCCCACGCAGCTCACACAACACGGGTTGCACTGCGCAGCTCACCCAGCACATCGTGCACCACATAGCTCGCACCACACATGTTGTACCGCACAGCTTGCACAACGTAGTTCACACCATGCAGCTTACACCGAACAGCGAGCACCACATAAAGTTCAACACATATCTTGCACAACATATCTTGCACTAAAATCAATGATCCACGTGGTTTACACACCCACGATTCAGTGGCCTACTAATCGGGGTCCACAATGGCAAACAGGTGCCTGGTATGTACATTGTGTGTACACTGTCTGGTAGTGTTCTCAAAACCAGTTATACCTGTTTCGTTTGTGGTCCGCTGATTGCCTGTGATGTGCGTTGCGCTCTCTTGTTATGTCCCCGATGGTTGTCAGATAGAATTCCCGGCGAGTATTGCAATACATATTGTACGTGCATGCTGTTGCCGCCTTCAATTGATATCATGTCATTCCCCAATCACAGCATTTTCCTCTGCAAGAGTCCTAGCGGACTCATATGGTTAGGTGGTGAGGTTTGGCGCCGGTTCTGGCGGCACGCGCACCCGGGCACCTGGGGCTATAGGGCTATAGGGCTATAGGGCCACAGGGCTATAAGGCTATAGTGCACTAAAGCCATAGTGCTACAGGGCTATGGGGTTGCCGGGCACCCGGGCACCCGGGCACCCGGGCACCTCGGGCTATAGGGCTATGGGGCTATAGGGCCACAGGGCTATAAGGCTATAATGCAATAAAGCCATAGTGTTACAGGGCTATGGGGTTGTTGGGCACCCGGGCACCCGGGCACCAGGGCACCAGGGCACCTGGTCACCCTGGCACCCCAGCACCCGGGCGTGCCGCCGGAATCGGCGCCAAACCTCACCTAACAATATGAATCCGCTAGGACCCCACCCCTACAGAGGCAAATTTTTGGATTGGGGAACGACATGGTATCAATTGAAGGCGGCAACAGTATGCACGTACAATCTGTATTGCAATACTCGCCGGGAATGGAATCTGACAGCCATTGGGGACATAACAAGAGAGCGCAACGCACATCACATGCAATCAACGGACCACAAACGAAACAGGTATAACTGGTTTTGAGAAAACGACCAGAAAGTGTACACAGAATGAACATACCAGACACCTGTTTGCCATTGTGGACCCCGATTAGTAGGCCACTGAATCGTGGGTGTGTAAACCACGTGGATCATTGATTTTGGTGCAAGATATGTTGTGCAAGATATGTGTTGAACTTTATGTGGTGCTCGCTGTTCGGTGTAAGCTACACGGTGTGAACTATGTTGTGCCCTATAGCCTTATAGCCCTGTAGCCCTATAGCCGTATAGCCTTATAGCCCTGTAGCCCTATAGCCTTATAGCCCTATAGCCCCATAGCCCTATAGCGCTAATAGCCCCTATAGCCCTAATAGCCCCATAGCCCTATATTCCTATAGCCCAAAGGCCCTATAGCCCTATAGCCTTATAGCCCTATAGCCTTATAGCCCAATAGCCCTATTGCCCTATAGCCCTATAGCCCTTTAGCCCTATAGCCTTATAGCCTTACAGCTATAGCCCTATTGCCCCAATAGCCCTATCGCCCTAAAAAGATTATGATTGGGATATTTCTCTGGTATCATATGATATGAGCACGTTGTAAGAATGTGGTACGCATATCCAATCCTTCATAAGCTATCATGAAGTATCCTCGATGAGCCCAGATAGCGGCGCGATGGCGGCCAGAAGAAAAGTATGCACTTTCGTGTTGGCCCACGGGGGCCATCCTCGATGAGCCGTAACAGCGGTGCGAGTTGGGCAAAAGACTGGCAGAGGATGACGGCGACGCCTCTTCTACGCATGGCGGTTCCGGGGGCACGTGCGCCGCGCAGGGCCACAGCCGCTCCCAGGAACTTGATGCCCCTTTAGCGCTGGGGGAGGGAGACACAAGGAAAAGGGAGAAGACACGGAGGTGAGGAGGTGGATCCCAGCCCCCCCCGACGCTGCAAGCGTCGGACGCCCGTCCGACCTCACCTCGCTCCCTCTTCCGCTTTGTAAGGCACCACCGCCTCCGCCCGTACCGCACCGCCCACGTGCGCAAGGCAGTCCCGAAGCAAAGACGACCCTGGAGACACGCCAGAGCGCCACTGCAGGCAGGGCCGCGAGGGCTCCCGGAAGCACGCCAGGAGGCCGCTCAGAGACCCCTTCCGATCGGGGGCCGCCGCCGAGCCCCCACCCGGGACACGACCCAAGGCGATCAGTCGACGGCCCCTGAGCGGGGGGGGATTCCAAACGGCCGACAAAGGGGAGGGTGGCTCAAGGGCCGCCCCCTAATCAGCCCTTACGGGCCCCGCAGGCCCAACCCCCACTCCCACCAAGGGGGCCCTCGCCCACCGCGGCGGCCGCAGGGCTCCGAGGGAGGGAATGCGAGATCGGGAGGGGGCCCCCCCAGGGGCGGAGAGGTTTGAGCCACACATGCATGGGCCGAGGCACGACGCGGCTCGCGGAGCCGCGAGGGTGAGACCACGGAGCCATAGAGGCTCGCTTTCCGTGCTGGCATCGCCGCGCCTCTGGAGCAGCGGCCCCGAGGGTCGGTCGCCCCCCGCAGACCCGGCGGCGGCCGGTGGCCACCCGCCTTTGGCGGAGAACCCTACCGACGCCCCAGCTGAGCCAGGCCGCACCGCGCCAGGCGCCGGGGCGCCGCGACTCGCGGCACCGCGAAGTAAAACCTCGCCGCTGCCGACCGACACTCGCAACCGCATGGGCGCGGCACGCGGAGCCGTGAAGGTGAATCCACGGAGTCTGCAAGGCTCGCTGCGCCGCTCAGTCCCAGCATTGATCTCTACGTAGACCGTCCCCTTCTCCAGCTTCCTTGCGGCCTGCGGTCCGCCAGCCGTCGGCGAAACTGTTGGCGGAGCTGTCGGCGAAGCTGTCGGCGAAGCTGCTGGCGAGACTGTCGGCGGCGCTGCGGGCCGCCCGCTGTCGGCGAGGCTATAGGTAAAGCTGTCGGCGAGCAGTCTCGGATCCCTCCACGTCCCCGGCGTGGTCGGACAGCGCGCGGCCGCCCTCCAGCTTCCCCTCGCGTGCGAGGCTCGCGGACCCCCGCGGTGGCCTCTCGCGGCGGCCTCCCTCGCTCTCGCGCCGGGCGCGGGGCTTCGCGATCACGGGGCCCAGCGCGCCGTGCGTCTTCCCGCACCGAGCCCGACGTAGGCCATGCACCTTCCCAAGGGACATGGCGCCGCAGGGTAGTTGATCTTTTCGCGCCACTGAGCAGCTCGGCGGCCCGCTCTACCGCCAGCGCGCCGGCGTGGCCCCGTCCCGAAGGGTTGCGCGGTGCTCCGCTGCTGCCAGGTCTGCTCGCGCCCCTGGGCCGCGCGGCGGCCCGCTCTTCCGCCAGCGCGCGGGCATCTCAACGAAGCTGTCGGCGAGCGCGGTCCTGGAGCCCACCACGCCCCCTGCGTGGTCTGACAGCGCACGGCCGTCCTCCAGCTGCCCCTCGCGCGCTAGGCTCCGGGAGCCCCCGCGGCGGCCCCTCGCGGGTCCCGCCGGCGGCCCCTCGCGGGTCCTCCAGCCCCCCGTCGCAGAGCTCCCACCCGCGGTGGCCCCCTCGCGGAGCCCCCAGCGGCGCCCCGCCCCCCGCTCGCTCGGCCGAGGGGCTCCAGGTGACCTCCCCCCCCGCAAGCGGTGAGCTCCTGGTCGACGCTGTCGGTGAACTCGTCGGCGAAGCCAATGGCGAGGCCGTTGGCGAAGCCGCGGCGCCGCTGTCTCGAAGCTGGCGTTGGCGCTGGCGTCGAAGCCATCGACGAGGCTCAAGCCGCAGTTCACAGCGCCGTCATCGCTCCTGGCGCGGCGCCCTCTGGCGGCGCCTGCGCGTCACTCGAGTCGCCGACTGGCGCGGGGAGGTCGCACCTGGCGACGCCGCCGCCACCGAGCCCGACTGCGCGGGCCTCCAGCGGCGATTTGCGCGTAGGTCAGCTCGGCGGCCAGCGCTGGGAGGCGCAC